AATGTGTAAGATACTTGGGAATAAACCTAACCAAGGAAGTCAAAGACCTTTACAAGGAAAATTACGAGAATTTTTAGAAAGATATTGAACAACACATGAGGAGTGGAAAGACATCCCATGTTCTTCAATTGGAAGAATTTATATAATCAAAATGGCAATTTTACCCAAACTAATCTACATATTTAATGCAATTCCTATTGAAGTACTGGAGACATTCTTCACTAGTTTATAAAAGACAATTATAGAATTTGTCTGGATTCATAAAAAGACCAAATATTGTCAAAGCAATCCAGCACTAGAAGAATGGAGTGGGTGGCATCTCACTCCCTGTCCCCAAAATACACTATAAAGCTGTGAAAATCAAAACAGCATAGTATCAGCACAAGAATAGACAAGTGGAACAATGGAATAAAATACAGACTCCAGAACTAACCCCCCAAATTTAGCAGACAACTGATTTTTAACACAGGATACCAGTCAATCCAGTGGGAAAAGGAAACTCATTTTAGCCAATGATGCTGGAAAAACTGGGTATATACCTGTAGAAAGATGAAACTGAATCCTCTTCTTTCACCAGTAGTAAAAATCAACTCAAAATGGATTAAAGATCTCAACCTAAGATCTCAAACTATAAAGCTACTGTTGGAAAACACTGGAGAAACTCTGGGAGATATAGGGATAGGCAAAGACTTCTTAAATAAGACTCCCAAAGCCTAGGCAATAATTCCCAAAATAGACAATTGGAATTACATCAGATTAAGAAGTTTGGCACTGCCAAGGACACAGTAATTAGTATGAATTGACAACCGTCAGAATGGGAGAATATTTTTGTATACTATGGTTTAGAAAAGGGATTGATAACCAGAATGCACAGGGAACTCAAGTGGCTTACCTGAAAAAAAAAAAAAAAGATAAACTCAATTAAAAGATGGAGAAACTAGTTGAATAAAAAACTCTCTTAGGGGGACCATCAGTCAGCATAATGTCTATGTCACTGGATTCCCATGTAGTTGACCATGGTTCAAGTCCCAGACCCGGTGGCTTAAACTCACGCTGAGTGTGTGTGCGTGTGTGCCCAAGATCCTAAGAGGAGAATGGAGAAGAGGGAACTGTGGCATGGCCATACCCCCGGGGGATGATTTCTCTCTTTCTGTCTCTCTGTCTCTTTCTGTCTTTCTGGTGAGTGCACGCGTCCTATAGCAAAAAACTCTCAAAAAATAAAATAAAATCTCTAAGGAAGACATACAAGCAGCCAAAAAGCCTATAAAGCAATGCTCAACATCCCTCATAATAAGGCAGATAAAGATTAAAGCCACAGTAAAAAACCACCTAACCCTGGTCAGAATGATGAAGATTAAAAGTACAGAAAATGATGTGTTGGCAGAGTGAAAGATGAACTCTCCTACACTGCTGGTGAGAAAGTAAATTTCTCCAGGAACTGTGGAAAACAATATGGAGTGTCCTCAAAGACTTACAAATAGAACTACCATATGATCTAGCAGTTCTACTCCTAGAAATCTACCTAAAGTACAGGAGAATGCTCAGTCAGAAAAGCGCTTGCACATCAATGTTTATTGTGGCATTATTCATAGTTGCTAAGACATGGAATCAACTTAAATGTCCACAAAACAGATGAATGGGTTGAAAAAGTGTGGCACATAATACTCCATGGAATACTGTTCAATCATAAAAAAAACCCCACAGGACCATGGCATTTGATAGAAAGTGGTCGAATATGGAAGTGCTGAGTGAAGCAAGTCAGAATATGAAAGAAAGATATGCATATATCCACTTAATATATACTGATTGTCCTCACTCTGTGGTAGAGACTGAAATATTGGAAGACATAAAAGCATAAAAAATAGTTATGGACACTGGAGACAGTATGGGAAAGGGATGGGAGAGGAGAAGGGTATATGGAAGTAATTTAGCGGGAGAAATGGAGAGATAAGATATATGTGGGTCATAGTAATGGTTTAGTACTTGATGAGAATATGTATAGTAGTCTCAACTGGACTGGTCTGAGGTGCATTTTATGTTGGATAAATTCTCTTTGCAAGCCAAATGATGTATAGCTATCAAATGTATAAAAAAACCTAAAAAATAGCAAACAGTGCTTTCAGGTGTAAGTAGAAACTTCAAAATTATACCACATTCTTCAGTAATATAATTAAAACAGCAATTTATCTAAAAATAATTAAATACAAGCAATAAAATTCCAGTCAAGATCCAAAAGGTTTTAATTTAATCAAACTGTTTTCACTGTTCATATGGAAAATTTATGAGAATAGTGACAAAAAATGAAAATGTACAATGAGAATAGTCTTGTATTAGTAGGTGACATGTTACATACAAAATGATAGACATTAGGGTATTGATGAAAGTTAGGATATTTCAGGAGAACTAGGTAAAGTTATTTTTTTCTTAATAGAAATAAGAGAAATAATTTTCTATTAGGCTAAATAAATAAGTCATGGGAATGTAAGATTTATCAAGAGGAAAACCCAGAGGAGAGTAGAAAAGAGATCTGGGATGAATTTATTTTTGGCCACATGGAATCACAAAAGAGACCAATGAAGATTTTTTTTGGGGGGGGGACAGCTCCATGGCTCCTGTGATCTAGTCATTTTTGGCGCAAG